GCTGCTGCCGGGCCCTGGACGTTGATCCGCGAGGCGTCCAGGCTAACGGGCTGTGTGTTAAATGCTCTGGCTGCATCCATGGTTCTAGCCCGTTATCCCACTGGGACATGCCGGAGCACTTCAGAGATGTTAATAACAAAGCCATTCGTTCTCCAGCCCTCTTGTTCTGCCCAGAGGCTTGCAAGAGAGATTGGGTCATATCACTGGAAGCAACAATCCCAACTCTTAAACATCCGGCTCATGGGAGTTGCCAGACTGGATGAGACCTGGGGTCCATCTAGCCCAGTGACCTATCTCCAGCAGCGGTACCAGCTGCTTCAGAGGAAGGCGCAAGAATCCCGCTGTTACAGGATAACCTGCCCATGGGAGATGTTTCCTCCTGACCCCGTTAGAGATTCTCATGCCCTGAAGCATGCGGGTTTCTAGTGCTTCCAAAAGCCAAGGGATATTTTTATGCACTCTCCAGCCGTAGGATTATCCAATCCTGTCACTGAATCCTGCTAGCATACAGATGCCCCCGAGTTACGCAAACCCGATTTATGCAAAATTCGACATGCAAAATTCGAGTTTTGCGTAAGTCGGGGAGCGTCTGTACATACTTTAGGATGTAACACACTGGCAAAGTGTGCTTCTGTCTCCCTCTATTGGCTGAACTGAGTAAGAAGCTTATGAGTCTGTCTCTGCCTTTGAGCTGATTGGATCTGGTCCTTCAGCTCAAAACAGCAGCGGATCGTGCTTTTTAGGTCCAGATGGCCTGGGTTCAACCCCAGCTGCTGACCCAGCTGGGGGTGTTCCCTTCTCATTGGTGGATGGTGTACGTGCGTCTGACGCATACAAAGTCTTCCTGAACTGATCTGTCTCTCTCCTATCTCTGCAGTCGACGATCACGGAAGTGACCACGGCCCACGACCAGGAACGCCTCTGGGAATCCAACGCTGGATTCGTCGTGAGGCTGCAGGCCCGCATGAGGGGCTACCTGGTCCGCCAGGAATTCGTGGCCCGCAGACACCTGTTGCGGGAGCAGTTACCCGCTGTTATCAAAATTCAAGTGAGGAGCGCTGCCAGACTGCCAAGCCGATCACACGCTGACATGCACGACATCATTTATATAGCGCTGGGTCTTCAGGGTGTTGTACAGGCATCCTGACCATTTCCCGTATTACCCCTTATTTACAGAGAGGAGAACACCTTTATTATTCATCCTGTCTATTATGGTAGGGCATCAGGACCGGACAAGAACGGGGGACCTGTGCGCTAGGTGCTGTACAGGGTGATCACCAGTCCCTACCTCAAAGAGCTTGCCACCTGAGAAGACACACCCGGGGAGGGGGAAGGGTGGAACGTGTGTTCCACGTTCAGCAGTGCAATGGTGACAGTTGAAGGCCTGTATTTTTTCCATAGCCGCCTCTCTCTTTGGGGGCTTGCAGCCTGGGTTTTGGGAGGGGGTGCCGACCCTGGTTTCGTAGGCTCTGTTGAAGACTAACCGAGGCAGGATGAGCTGAGGAGTAGGGGTTGTTGGGAGTATTCTGTGCTCTCCCGAGGGCAGCTTGGAGGTGTGAGGATTTCCTCCTGTGGGTACAGACCAGGCCTTCCCAGACTGGAAGCTGGTGCCTTGGGTCACCCCAGAAATGTCACGCTGTAGTTGATTTGTGTGTGATATATTTTTTTTTCCTCTTGGGGTATCCAGTCATGCTGGAGAGGCTACAGACAGCGCAGCGCTTACCTGCAAAGATTACGGTACTTGCAAAAAACCAGAGATGCTGTGATAAAGGTACTGGAGCCTTGTCTGCTTCTGTAACCCACCCCCCCACCCACACACACACCCTGCTCCTCTGTTTTCTAGTAGCAACAACATCCTATTTGCAGCTATTTTCCCCGTCTAGATATGGGAATCCCTGTGGAGATGCAGCCACCTCTGGGTGGAATGTAGCCGCTGTTTGACAGCAACAAGAATACATTGTTCACTTCTGTCCTAAGTCACTGCATCTAGTTGCAGGGGGAGTTTTAGGGAGGCAGGACATGGCTTCCCAAACTGGATGTTGACCCCAGGTGGGTGACACCCAAAATTCTTGCAGATAGCGCTACAGTGGTCAAGAATCTTGGCGTTATCTGTGATCAGAAAAGACACCCGGGTGAGCCCAGCGCCCCCTAGTGCTGTGTAGATGGACTAAGGGAGCCTAAGTGAAATGGATCCAATCGTTGTCTCAGAGAATACCCTCCAAGGCTTCCCGTGTCCAGTTAAAATGGCCAAATCCGTCTCTCCTCTTCTGTTCCCTCCTCTCAGATCCAGGCATATGTGAGGATGTGGCGAGCTCGTAAAAGGTACCGGGAACGGCTGCGCTACTTCAGGAAGAACGTGAGTGGCTGATCCGTGAGGGCAAGTGAAAATATAACCCCAGAGGCTCTGAAAAGAGCCTCTTGCAAATAGACTAAGGGTACGTCCACACTTGGCGCGGGGGGGGGTGATCCCCAGCTCAAGGAGATGTCATTGAGCTAGCATGCTTAGCTTATGGGCCAGTCACCCCGAGCGCGTGCTAGGTATGTACTCAGGACGCCTCGCCCATGCTACCATGGCTACGTGCTATTTTTAGCAAGCGAGCTTGCTGAGAGCTGGCGCGAGTGTGTTACATCCCCAGCTCGAAGTGTAAACGTACCCCGAGAGTCCTTAGGCCCTCTTCTTCCTCTGCCTGAGGGAGACACTCAAATCCTCTTGTATCTTGTGCTGGAGCAAAGAGGAGCCCTCTGAAAGTGAAACAGCTAAATAACTGTGTGGCGTTCCAGCATGGGACCTGGGGATGAGGGAGGAGCTTTGTGTTTCTAGGTGGGGGGGCTAGAATTTGCCCTTAGGTTGAAATCTGCAGGAAAAGAATCTGATGAAGAGGAAGGGGTGGGGATGTGTCCAGGTCCAAAGGCCCACATTTGTCAGTGTCTAGTGAGCCTGGGTGCCGGATGAGAGCCACCTCAAGAAGGCTGATTTTCAGACAGGACTGAGTGTGTTGTTTTGAGGATGGTGTCGGAATGGCAAGCCACATGTGTGTGTTTGGTTATGTGGTTCCTTCATTCCTGGCCCTGCTCACAGACTAGGGGGTTCTTGAGGAAGTGTTTGATCAGAAGAGCTGGTAAAGTCCCAGTTTAAAGCAAGGTGGGGTGAGTGGTGCCTCGCTGACATAGGGAGCAGTCTGTTTTCTCTCTCTCTGTTTTTGGGTTCTTGTGTGTTTATCATTCTGAATTCTAAGACATAAAGTTGTGACGTTGCAACCTTCTAGCAAAAGGATTTAGGTTTTTAATCTAACTTCTGTGTGTGTGAACATCACACCGAGCACTCTCCCTCTGTAAATCAGACCCCTTTAAGACCTCTCAGGTGTGGCACCCAAGGTTGCTAATCCCTTTTGAAAGTTTGGGGTAAAGGGGTGTGGGGTAGGGAAGTCTGTTGCCTGCGAAAATTAAGAAGCTGAGTGTCTGGAGTTCATTTAGCCTGTTGCCAAATGTAGCGGCTCCTGAAGAAAGCAACAGCCGGTAAGACCCAGGGTAAAATTTTCAAAAGCATCTAAATGATTGGCTCCTAAGTCCTGTTGACTTAGATGCTTTTGGAATTTTTACCCTCAGCACTCTGCTAACATATAAACCCTCGCAAATCCCCTGTGAACCAGGAAGAGAGTAAACCCACTTCACAGATGAAGGGGAAATTGAGGCAGAGGGCGGGTCAATGACTTGCTCAAAGCACACAGCCTCACATCGAAGACTAGAACCCAGGAGTCCTGACTCCCTGCCCCATGCTCAGACCATTTTCTCAGGCATCTGGCTAGGAGTTCACTGTCTAGAAGGATCCCGTTGAGTACGCTCCCTCTGCCTGACACCCCAGCTAATCAGTTTGCTAGTTGCATGGCTGGTATATATATTTTTTCTCTCTTTACATTTGCTGCCTGCCACGGGGACGCTGTAGGAAACATCCCTCTTCCCCTTTGTTTGTCTTGGCAGATTAATGCTGTAATTAAAATCCAGGCTTTTGTGAGAGCTAACAAGGCCCGTGGGGATTACAGAATGTTGGGTAAGTGCCTGCCTGTCTAGGTTTTATTTAATACAGATGTGGCTTTAATTAATCGCAAGGATGTTGCCTTCTCATTACCATTCCTACACTTCGGGTATGGGCTGAAGCCCCCTTTGCACAGCACCAGACTACAGGGACTGCAGAGACCAGGCCAGCCCTGGTGTAAAGTGGAGCAGCCCTGAGGCTGCTCTAACTTCAGGCTGTTTCTCCTAAGGGAGCTTGGAATCAACAGATAGCCACATAGCAGCATGCTCTGGCTTCACCCCCTATCCATGCCTGTGCTGGGAGCAGGCGTAGAGCCCTTGCACTAGCTCCATGCCAGCCGGGGAGGCCCTGGTTCCCATTTCCACCCACTTTTTAAGGCCCCTTTATGCTGGCCCTGAGCATGACAAGCCCTCAGTAGCCATTTAACCGCATTCAAGGGAGAGTTCCCTCTGTCCCCTGCCAGTCCACGCCAGGGACCCGCCACTGAGCATCGTCCGGCGCTTCGCCCACCTGCTGGAGCAGAGCCAGCACGACTTCTGGGAGGAGTCGGAGCTGCTGAAGCTGCGGGAGGAGGTGGTGAAGAGGATCCGCTCCAACCAGCAGCTGGAGAGCGACCTCAACCTTATGGACATCAAGATCGGGCTTCTGGTTAAGAACAGGATCACACTGCAGGTCAGGGGGTCATCGGGCGGTGTGTGTGTGTGTGGGGGGGGTAGTTCAGCTGTCCCATGGCTTTTCCTCCACGAACCCTACTTTCCCATTCAGGGGCCAGGCTCTGCTCTCCGTTACACCAGTGTGATTCTGGCGTCGCTCCCCTGGACTGGACTAAAGCTGGGGTTCCTTAATCCCCTAGGCTCCTTTTATGTGCTTGTCTGTGCCTCTGGAAAACCTCCTCCCAAATCCAGCCCAGGTGTAGACATGGAGCTATGCCTGCTTGTGCCAGAACTGAGTTTGGCCCTTCGGGCTTATCTCGGTTCAGGGCAAGTGCACCTGTGTTCCCGCTCTGTAATCTACCAAGGGCACCCAGCTCGCCAGTTGTCCCCTCTCAGGTGGAGATCCGCATCCCTCTCTCTCCTGACCAGGGTATCTACGCTGCCCAGCGCCCTGATTATACTGGGAGTTCCCTAGCAAGTCAGACTGCTTAAGCAGGCCTGCTTTGCTTTTCCCCCGGAGGTGTAAGTGACCACCCAGCCCTTTCTAAGCAAGCAGATTTATTCTTCAGGTGAAAGCATGACTGAGAAAACACAGATTTAAAAACAATGAAACCTACATGTGCGCTAACAAGCTGACCAGAGATCAACCGAGGTCCATTAACAGCTCTGGTTGGCGGTCAGTCCTTCAAACCCCAGCCAGGGGATTTTCTACAGTCACAAGTTCATAACAGCTGGTAGCAAAGAAGAAGCCCACCTCCCCTGCCCCATGAATCAGCCAAGTCCTTCCAACCCTTCCCAGGAAGGACTGCCCCCCCACCCTCCCTTGGACAGAAGGGCCCATCTGTTTGCTGGATCTGAAAGCAGGCCCTGAGTCTGTTCAAACTCAGGGGTTTTCTTGGTTGGTTCTCTAGAGAACCCAGTGTGAACCAGTATATGCCAGCCTCTCCGGCCGGGGGCACCTCTTGGGAGCTGTTACAACCTGAGGGACTTTGCCTAATCACACCGCCCACCCCTGTCCCTGGAGGGCTGGGGTTTCCCCTCCTCCATGGAATTGCATGTGATCCCTGCCCTACAACGCTACCTAACCTGAATTAGACGTAACTTAATGCGATGACATTTGTCCAGGTTATTGCCATATCTGTCACAGGGCTTAATCCAGAATCCACGCAAGTTAGCAGGAATCTTTCCCCTGATTTCAGGGGGCTTCGGATCCAGCCCCCGATGAGCTGGGTCAATGTATAAGAGTTGCGTATTTATTTTTATTTTGTGGGGCTTTTCATCCATGTGCCTCAAAGCGGGTCAATATCACCATCCCTTCTTTTTACCAGTGGGGAAACTGAGGCACAGGGCAGTGACTCACCCAGCAGGCCAGCGGCAGAGCTGGGAATAGACCCCGGTGTCCGGACTACCGGTCCGGCGCTACGCACTAAGTCACGCTGCCTGCTGTTGAGGTCGGCAGCACCTTGCTGACTTGCCCGAGGCCTGTTGGGGAACAGGGAGCCTGCCAACTGCATGCAGAGCGAGCCAGGCCTCCGCCGTGCATGTGGAGCTGGTGGGTGTGGTTTGATGGGGGATGAATTTCCCCGTGGTGTGTAAACGGCAAAGCTGCGTGAATCCCAAGGCCCGAAGGGGTGGCATTTTCCCAGAGGATTTAGGAGCACAATTCCCATTGCAAGTCCAATGAGACCCGTGCTCCCAAATCACTTGGTGTCAATGGGGCGGATGCTCCTAAATCACTTAGGCGCTCTTGCCTCCCTCCCCCTTATCTGCTCGCCTGCCCCACGACAGGAGGTGGTTTCCCACTGCAAGAAGCTGACGAAGAAGAACAAAGAGCAACTGTCCGACCTGATGGCCATCGACAAACACAAGGGGCTCAAGTCGCTCAGCAAGGAGAAGCGTCAGAAGCTGGAGGCCTATCAGCACCTCTTCTACCTGCTGCAGGTGAGCTGGCTGCTGGGTTTGGGGGGGGCGGAACAGTCTGCATCCCCCCCCCGCCCCACCCATCTGGTCACGTGCCTGCTGCCTCGGTTTCCCTGGAGGGACTGCATGTGGGCTCAGGGAGTCCGCGCACAACCCCGTCTTCGGGCATGGGGTTACCAACAGGTCGGCGTCCGATCGAATGGAAACCCTGCCCGGCCGGGATTCTGCTGCCTCGGCCTTTCCTAAAGCCACACCCGGCTGAGGCAGCGGCTGCTGCAAATGTCGTCTTCTCGCTGACGCAGAAGTGGGGTGCGGTTCCCCAAATCGATTCCCCGCCGTTGCCGGGGCCTGGGCACTGCTGGCACCTGGGGCTCTTGATCCAATAGTCCCTTCTGGCCCTACGCTCTGCAGATTCCCTCCCCAGCGCCTTCCTCTCCCCTTCTCTGTCTGGACCAGCTCCCTCCTTAAAAGGAAGCGCCACCTCTGAGTTACCATCACCGGATGCTTTGTCACCTGCCCCAGCCAGTGCAGGGATGCGGGCGTGCACCCCAGCGGGCTGCGACACTGGGATCTGCTCATTAGTTTTCCTGCGATGGGTGTCAATTTGTTATCTAGTATTACGGTAGCACCTAGAGGCCATAACCGATCAGGGCCCCATTGTTCTAGGCCTGCATGTGAACATAGCAAGAGACAGTCCCTGTTCCAAAGAGCTTTGTCTAATCAAGCAAGACAAAGGATGGGAGGGCATGGAGAGGGGAAGTGACTTGCCCGAGGTCACCCAGCAGAGCTGCAAAGAGAACCCAGGTCTCCTGACTCCCAGTCCAGGGCTGTATTCGCCAGAGCACGCTGACTGTTCCAGCCCTCGGACCCCAGGATAACCCTCCTCTTTAACGCCTCTCCTCTGTCCGCAGACCCACCCTGTGTACCTGGCTAAGCTGATTTTCCAGATGCCCCAGAACAAGTCGACCAAGTTCATGGAATCGGTGGTCTTCACGCTCTACAACTACGCGTCCAACCCCAGAGAGGCCTACCTGCTCCTTCAGCTCTTCAAAACCGCCCTGCAGGAGGAGATCAGGTAAGTGCTACGGGCACATACCATCGGCTAGGGAGGCCAAGACCAGGACTGCCCTGATACCAGGGCTTGAATGCCTGTCTGTCTTAAGGAGCTGGCAGTCTGTCTCTTCCCTGCATTCAGATGAAACCATCTCAGATGCCTCTGGTATTCCTAGATCCCTCTGAGACACGTGGATGCCTAGGAGTCAACAGAACGCTCCCTAGCTGTCCGTGCAAGGATGTAGGGCTAGGTCCTGTCCAAACTCCTATTGACTAGGTTTTGGCGCTTATCCCCCTCAGGGGATGGCTGGCCTGCAATCAGGTGTGTGATTGCACCATGTGTAGACAGACCCGAGCTGGCTTTAATCTACGTCGCTTGGGCATCCACAGCAGGACGGCTGCATAAGCCGGCCTGAGACCTCGGGCGTGCGCTCAGGCAGCGAGCCCGTGCGGCCGTGGCTTCGCCGCTCTTGGTGCCCAAGTTGGCTCAGGTGTGTCTACACATGCTGTAGGGTTTAGTGCGGCCGGGCCTTTAGCGTCTGAGCACCAAAGTCTCTGAGGGGCATGGACACCCTCCTTGGACTAATCTAGACACGCAGGAGGTAGGCTGATTCCACAGCTTGGCAGATCCCGAAGGCACCATAACTGCGCTGCTTGTCTTCAGTGGCTATTTGTTTGTGCTGGCTGCAGCTCTGAGCCCAGATCAGAGTTTTGTCCTTTCTCACCCCCACCGTCCAGGTCCAAAGTCGACCAGCTCCGTGACATCCTAACGGGGAACCCCACCGTGATCCGGCTGGTGGTGAGCTTTTACCGGAATGCCCGCGGGCAGAACGCCTTGCGTCAGATCCTGGGCAGCCCCGTGCAGGAGGTTCTGCAGGACAGAACCCTCAGCATCCGCACCAACCCCGTGGACATCTACAAGGCCTGGATCAACCAGCTGGAGTCTCAGAGCGGACAGAAGAGGTCAGGCCCGGCCCACGCCCAGCCTCGCCACAGAGGCCACGTTGGCTTGCCCTGTGCTGACGCTTAAGGGTGTCTTTCTTCTATCCACAGCAAGCTCCCATATGATGTTAGCCCCGAGCAGGCCCTGAGCCACCCCGAGGTTCAGCGTCGGCTGGACATCTCCATCCGCAACCTCCTGGCAGTGACGGACAAGTTCCTCTCTGCCATCACCTCTTCCGTGGACAAAATTCCGTAGGTAGCCCCGGGCCTGTCTGTTATAGCCGGTGAGGCAGCGTGGCCTACTGGAGAGGGTACTGGGCCGCGAGCTAGAGGTTTACTCCCAGCCCCGGACTTGCTGTATGACCTGGAGCGAGTCATGGCTCTGCTCCGTGCCTCAGTTTCCCCATATGTAAAGCCAGTCCTGACCTTCCTCCATGGAGCGCTCAGACCTGCAGAGGAAAGGGGTCAAGCAGGACTCTTCGTGCTAGTTTAATTAATTAATGCCAAATTCCTGGAGTGCGGCAGCTCTTTCTGCAGTTCACATCCCGGTAATGGAGGGGGAGCATTTCCTTCAGAGGAGGAGTGGGATCTAGCGGTTAAAATGTGGGACTGGGAGTTGGAGAGACTTGAGCTTCCTCCTTGCCTGACCTTGGGCAAGTTGTGCCTCAGTTTCCCCCCTGTAAAATGGGGATAATACTTTGGGTAATACTCTGCACCTCCATACGCAAGAGGGTGGTGCCATGGAGATTACCTAAGAGATAGCAGAGGGCTTTGAGAGCTCTCGGAGAGGCTCGCCGGGTGGCATATGGCACCACAGGCTGGCCTGACATGCAGGAAGACGCCCCTAAAGAGCTTACACTGTCCTTTAGGCAAGGTCTGGCCCAGGGAGCGCCGGGCTTGGCTTGGGTTTTGTTGGCAGTGGAGACATCACTTGTACCAAGTCACTGTTTTTGTTGCAGTGCTGGGGCGCCCCAGTCACGGCCAAGGACCCCACAGTGCTAGGTGCTGCACAAACTCAGAACAAAGACACCAACGCGCTTACAGTGAATAAGGAGCAGATTTTTAATGGGGAGGGTAATTGGCCATTAGAACAACTGGTCTAGGGATGCGGTGGATTTCTCCCAGCATCTCAAGACTGGATAGCTTTCCCATAGATCTGCTGTCCTGGGCTGGATTCAAGAAGCACTGGGAGAGGTTGTGTCGGAGGCCAGACTAGATGATTGTTAACAGGCTCTGGCCTTAGCACATGTGAATCTAAGCCCGCTGGTTGACCTCTGCCCACGTGATGATCCTCTTCTCTGATTTCTTTTAGCTACGGGATGCGCTACGTGGCCAAAGTCCTAAAGACGTCCCTGGCTGAGAAATTCCCAGACGCCGGCGAGGAGGAGATCTGCAAGGTGAGTAGAGGACGTAGATAGCTGGCCAAGGTGACAGCAGCAAGGTCTCTGCAGCTGGCTGCCTCTAAACATCAAGGCTAGAGAGGCGTTGGATAGCCGTCCTGCCCTCCCCCTGGCATCCCGTCAGAGAGGCAGTGTGGCTTAGGGGATCTGGATTCCAGTTATACCATGTGGCCTTGGGCAAGTCACATGCCTGCTCTGTGTCTCCATTTCCCCATCTGTGTAAGAGGGATAATCCTAGTGTAATGAGCTGGCTAGTGTATGTGCACTGCTGCCCCCCGTGGGTTGCAATCAGAACTCCTGAACTGTGTTTCATAGGCCCCGTACTGCAAAGCTGTACAGGAAACTACCAATGTGTTATAGCCTGGAACAAACGTTTAGGCAGCATCCAGACCAGGCTAGAGCCGCATAAGAGCAAGGCATCACTCGTAGTAATATTTCCCTTTCTCTGCTCCCTGCACCCTAGATTGTCGGGAACCTGCTCTATTACCGTTTCATGAACCCGGCCGTGGTGGCTCCGGACGGCTTCGATATCGTTGATATCTCTGCCGGCGTGGCCCTGCACCCGGAGCACCGGCGCAACCTGGGCTCCATTGCCAAGATCCTGCAGCACGCGGCGGCCAATAAGATGTTCGAGGGGGAAAACGGCCATCTGCGGGTGGTGAACCAGTACCTGGAAGAAACCCACTCTAAGTTCAGGTTGGTGCCATGCGGTGGCAGTTGTAGCCACGGTCCCATTGCGCTAGGTGCGGTACGTACATGTAGTGAGACTGCTCCGATCCCCTAAAGAGTTTAATTGAAACAAACAAGGCCGACATGAGTTATTATTCATCCCTCTTTCGCAAATGGGGAAACTGAGGTCCAGAGAGAGAAGGCGACTTGCCGAGTCTCCTGCAGGGAGTCGGTGGCGGTGCTGGGAACAGAATCCAGGTCTCTTAAATTCTAAGCTAAGGTCTCAACCACAAGGTCGGGCTTCCTTTTGCTAGTGCTGCTGCAAAGCTGGGGTAACAGTAAAGCTTAATTGAGTTTTGAGAGCAGCCGCCTTCTTAGCTAGGGACATGAGTGGAAGAGAGGATCTACAATTAACTGGCCAGAACTGTCCCTTTGTTCTGTGTTTTTACAGCAGGGAGCACCGTGGGGTCGTGGTCTGTGACTCAGGCCTCAAGGCACTTTGACAATACAAGTAATTAATAGGAATTAAGGGAGTGATATATACATATATATATATATATATATATATATATATTTTTTTTTTTTTTTAACAGATCTAGCTACACCAGAAAAAACCATAGTGTGGACTCTGTTATACCAGAATGCCTGTACAGTAGAACCTCAGGGTTACGAACACCTCGGGAGTGTTTGTAACTTGGAACAAAACGTGATGGCTGTTCTTTCAAAAGTTCACAACTAAACATTGACTTAATACAGCTTTGAAACGTTACTAGGCAGAGGAAAAATGCTGCATTCCCTTTATTTTTTTAGTAGTTTACATTTAGCACAATGCTGTACTGTATTTTCTTTTTTGGGGTCTCCGCTGTTGCCTGATTGGACCCTTTCAATACCAAATACGGTGTGTGGTTGACTGGTCTGTAACTTGGGGGTTCGTAACTCTGAGGTTCTACTGTACTTAGATCAGCATAACTTATGTTCGCTCCCCAAACCTGCATGACTATCCAGTCTATGCTCCTTTCTACTGGTAACTGTATCCATACTAGGTGGGGTTGTATCACTTTAAATAGCCCGGTACAATGAAAGCAGCAAAGCGTTCCTAGTGTAGACAAGGCCTTGGTCTGATCCCAGTTCAGCTCTAAATTAATACACATACGCACCGTGTGAGATCCCATTGCAATGATGCCTCCTCTTTGCTGTCCAGTTTAAACTGTCCCTGAAGGTAGTCAAAACTCTGTGCAACTCTCCCACCACCCCTTCTCCTCCCCAGTCCTCTGTCGTTTCCAGCATTTGGCAACAGTTGAGAGTAATTAGCATGTGCCCCTTTGGTACCTCAGGATTCAATAAGCAGATCAGAGTAAAAACGAATGTGCAATGATTAAACCGCATTCCTGGCACTCCCCTCGGCCTCCGTGAATAAATTAGTCTGTAATTAAAAACCTTTTAGGCACTTAGAAGAATGCATGTGTTTGCTTCTCCACCTTGTTCTCGGACAGCTGATGGACTTGGCTAATGCGGTAGCTTGCGAAGCAGAAGAGAAGTGGCAGAGGGTCGGTCTGTAGGGGGAGCAGCACAGAGCTCCGGTCCCAGGCCGAGGCCCGAAATTGATCAGGGTCGTCGGGGTTGATTTACTACTTGTATTGCAGTGTCACTTAGGGGGCTCAGTCCTGAACAAGCCCCCCCCCCGCCGGTGCCCCACAGACACAGAACGAAATGACCGTCCCTGCCCCAAAGAGTGTCACGTCTCTAGGATTTGCTGGAAGGGGCCCAATCCCATGAGGTGCTCAATCAGCACCCTCCATTCCATGACTCCAGTGGGGGACTGAGGGAAGACGGCACTAGAAGTGGGAACTGTGTGTTCTTAAAGGGGCAGGAGAGGGTGATGCAGGATATGGTAACGCAACAGCGCTGCTGCCTTTCACGCCTAGTTGCTTGGTGAGTTCTAGCCTGTTTGGGTGCCCAAAAGCACATGCCGTTAGCTAATGCATCACAAAAACCCACAGGACGGAGCATGTAGGCGGTAAGTTGGTACAGTACACCCTGGCTATAACGAACCCCTGGGGATCCAAACCATTTGTTCGTTATAGCCAGGGGTCGGTTCTAGGGAAAGAGACCTACCGGGAGGTGTCGGGGGGGGGGATGGCGGTGGCTGATACCTCGAGTCCAGCAGCAGGAGCTCCTCTGGCCCTGGGGCAGCAGCGGGCTCAAGGTGCGATCCAGGAACCAGGTTTGCTGGAGATTTGTACAGACCCTCCCCGACTTAAGCAAGCGTTCCGCTCCGATACGCCTTGTCTAACTCGAATTTTGCGTAAGTCGGAAACGTCTACCCGACCATTACGCAAAAAAACCCTCCTCTCTCTAGCTTACAGAACTTTTTCCGTACGTGCGGATTTGCGCACGTCGGGTTTGCGCACCCCGGCGGGCGTCTGTCATTGTGACGGGCGTCGTGCCCAGGGTGAACTGTACTGCAATCAGAGGACGTGTCGACAGTCCGGAGCTAGCGCGAGGAACAACAGAAGCAAAGCAAAGCTAATCTGCTGTGTACCCCGGGCGGACCTGTACAACGGCTACCCAGGGTTCACTGCTATCTTTACTTGAGCTAGCGAGAGCCACGCGAGCTCGGGTACGTCTACACATGCTGCACTCGCACCTCTGATTGCAATGTAGACATCCCCTGTGTAAGTCCCCAGCCAAATGGGCCGTACAGCATGAGGGGTGCACA